ATATATATATATATATATATATATATATATATAAACAGTTTGATAAACAGACAGATGAAAGGCAGTAATGAATCAACAGTGTCTGTAGACATCATCAAAACAATCTCATGGTTCACATGACAGCCCTTTTTTTCCATTTTAGAACGCTAACTTTTAAATATGTGAAAAATAAAGGGAAAAACAAGCAAGCAAATATTTATTTTCATTCTTATACAAAGGCCAAAGGAGAATGTGTTTTCAAAACATTACTTGTCGATTTATTCTTTCAAGCTTTACTGTGTACGACATTTAGGAGTTTCTTTTTTCACCAATTTTGACACATTTTTTATTCTCAGTCTCCAACAAAATGTGGCACAGTCTATCCAAAATATAGGGTTGGAAAACGACGAAAGACTAAGAAGCACTGCACATAAACCGTTAGACAATAGCAATGAGAGAAAAAGAATAAACCCACATTTTCGAACCACTTTTTGATGTTGTGAAGAAGTTCCCGATCGAAATGCATAGTCAAAGAAGAAGAAAACATTAAATGCCCAAACTAATGGTGCACAAGCACATCCGATCAGAAAATATCGTTTGACTATATAGGCTTTTCTCTCTTCCGGTAAACGACTGAAATCCATCTTTCCAAAACTAAAAATTGATAGTTATTCTACGGTAAGGCAGCAACTAAAGAAAAAATAAAAACAACAACGAAAAAAATCAACGCCGTGTCGTTTATTGAGGTGAAGCGCCAAAAATAAAAAAGAAACCTATAAATTGCACAGGTGTCGTATTAAAAGTGTTTAGCTGAATAAAAAATGAAATTTTTTGCCATCTTTTAACTTCAACGTTACAAATTTCTCTACCTTTTAGGCAGCAGGCGAACAGATAATCTGAGAGCTAATTATCTGCTGAATTTACCTCTAATCTCATAGAGAATAACCAAAAAGCGTGTAATACCCTTCGGTATTCTGAACGAATATGAAATAGCACAAAATTTTGGCGTGAAAACTCTTGCGGTACCTCAACAGCAATTCAGGAAATTTAATGTCGGTGTCCAGCAGGTTTCTGCGTTCCACATTTCACTATCGCTACATCAGTTCTCTTTTTCAGTTTTAATGAAATACCTTAAACCTCATCATCCTCATACTGATCAAGCTTTTAAAGTGAAATTGTTGGTCAAATACAACCGCCACCCTAGACGAGCATTCGACCAACACCTAAACACAAAGTGGCCTCCATTTTACCCTGTCAAGAGAAAGAGTCGGATACTGCGAAAATCGTATGCCGTTAATCTGCTTCTATTGAAAAAAACATTAATGCTACGCTAACTACTGTTCCCTCCCAATGATAATAACAGAGTGACTGTCTTTATACTTCCCACTGTTTAATATTATCTACAAAATTAACGTTTCATACAATTGAGGACTTGAAGGGCAACGACAGCACCAATATCGACTCCAACTCCAAATCTATCATCTTTGATCTTTGACTTCATTTAATTCTGTTTTTAACAAGTTATTGCCATGAATAACCTCCTCCTTCCGCTGACAGCTAAAACAGCTATAATACAACCATTATCAGTGACTAAGCCTCCCAGAACAATTGGGTTATGTCCCTTCTTCTTTCTGGCACCACCATAGTCCCCCTAATGTCACAGCAAAACAAAGTTTGGTGCTCCATTTTGAAAATTATGTAAACGTAAATACATATTTCGTTGAGCAGAAAGTACTGTAAGCATTGAGATCAGATTAATTAATGGAAGGGTACGTAACAGTTTATATGACTACCATTTTAAAAAATTTGTTATCGGCATATAACTAGCATTTTAAAAGAAAGGGATCTTATAGTACCACACATTATCTTTTATCTGCACAACAAACAGAAAAAGACAAAAAAGAAATCTATAACATTATACCCTGACAAAAAAATTCATTAGAAAAGCAAACAAACTGTTAAGTTAAGCATAAATAAGTATGAAAAGAAATTTAAGAAGCAAGTTTGTCAGTTTATTAATGGTTCAGACAGCGCATGACTGACTACAAATATTGAGTTCTGAGTCAACTGTGTCTTCTTTCTGGCAGGCTTTCCTCCCTTCTCCTCCCCACAAGCATAAATAGGAGAAAAAAAACGCTGCAAATTCGCACAAAAAGTAAGAATAATTTTTAAATTCTCTCGTTTAAGTGAATAGAAGTAAAATACTGCCGCAACAGTTCACATGAAAACGAGACCACAAAAAATAAAAACAAGGAATAAATGACGGGTAACTTAATAAGTAAATATACTAAATTTTCCAAATACAAGAGGCTACCTACTAATTTTCATAAATATAATAATGCTACAGCTTCACTATTTCCTACCACTAACTAGCAAACTAATCGTCCAGTTCAAAATAATCTCCGGGATCAACTGGAACTTCTTCGTTTTCAACATCCACATAAAACCCCTTCAGTCCCAAAAAACGTTTAAAGAAAGATGTCGCAATTCCTTTTACGTCTCCGGTAGAAGTAATTTTTGGTAAAGCTTCCTCACCCAAAATGGATAATAGCATTCTAAAAATTGATCAATTACTGACTCAGTGGCATATTAAACTTCTGAAAACTCCAATAAAACGCCACCAATTTTTTTCTAGAAATAAAACCTGTTTCTTTTGAGCATTTTCCAGTAATATTCTTTACCACCTTCACAATGATCGAAAGAGGTTAGAGCAGATTTTTCATCCGCTTTAAGATCTGCAATGTGCCTAAAATCGTGCAGAATTTTCTACAAATAAGCTAGTAACGATCTTTTAAACATAAAGGGAAAAGACTTGAAATTGCTGGTATAGATCAGACACTACTAAAAATCCCACGGCAAACAGTTAAAAACAAAGAAACTACCTGTACAGTTGATGCCAATATTTAGAACCCAGATAGGCAAGAGCTGAAGCGACTAACAAAATAGACAAGAACCACTGCAAACTATGCCGTTGCTTAGAAAATCCGTGCACTATGTAAGTGAAAAAACCGGCAACAGATGAGTATCCAGCCCATGACATTTCTTTTGAAATATAGGCTCTGTAATCCTCATTAGCATAGAGATCTCGCAATGCCAAAAATCGAAGTGCCTAAAAAAGCGAATACAGAATAAAGAAGAGTTAACCAATCAAATCCACTTAAATAATGAAACAAGTCATTCCAGAACTGAAAGTTATGACAGTCGATAAAAGATATTTGAAGCGGAACAATCAAATATAAAACAGAACTGTCAAAAGCTAACCCTACACCTTCATAGGTTTTTTTTCAAAATTTTACTCAGGTGCAATCGTTTTCAAAGAATTATGAAGAATTGTAACATTTCTGTAAAACATTAACGTATAAATTTAAGGATACGACAATAAAGATGTTATTTTCTTACAGAACAAGTTTAAAAGCAATCTGCAAACCTATTTAATTTGCATCTCTCAACATGATCTAAGGGTTTTATTTTCAGCAGTCGCTTTTACAATGTCCATATCGGCTAATATTTGCTGTTATTCATAGTAACAGTTTCACACTTTCTTTTTTTTTTTTCATTCAGTTATTACCTAATTTGCCAGGAACTAAGGTTCATGAAAAAATAATATTAAAAAAACAAACAGATAAATTAGACTTATCAAACTTGGAGTTTTAATAGCTAACAAAGTCAGCGTATAATTTCTTAAATAAAACTGGACCAGCGCTTATTACCGCTAATTTGAAAGCTGCAGTCTCTAACACACTCGTCTCTGTCCCTTGAGTCTGAGGGTTTAGAATGTTGCTTTTTTAGATGCCATTTTTCCCTCATACAAGCGTCCTAAATGTTTTGGTAAAAGACAGTTGATAGTGTCATTTATAGCGAATAATGTAGAAATATCTACATTATTCTAAAACTTCATGAATAGTGTGTGAAGAATTACCAGTGCAACTAGAATAGTTCCCTAATCAGACCCCAAGTCGATTCTACAAGCCGTCGTCTTTTTTAACTCTTCAACTAATCATCAGACCTTACAGATCTTCTCAAAAAATTTTTCTACCGCCAAAGAATGAAGTCTTAAATCATTCCTTCTTTTACTAGAAAGTCATACTCAGGAAATCTAAAAAGCACACTATTTGGAAGTCTAAGTGAAAACCCTGTCACACCAGTCTGGTACGCAAATGTCAATTACTTTGCTGCGAAATTACTGTAATTTTTCACTCCTGAGGGAAAAACTGATTCAAAAAAGCGACTTTGCTACTCTTCTTAAGTTCTACAGATAGAAAAATATGCTTACTTTAAGAAATCTTAGGAATATAAAAAAATCTACGATAATATTCATCATCCGTTGTTTGATAAAAGTCTGTTTCGAAAGTCTAATGTTAGTCAAATAAAAAAGATTGTTAGATAATTAAGAGACTAATGGAGATAAGGACAACGATGAGGAGGTGTAAGAACCAAAAGGTTGCTAATAACACTTTCAGCGATGGCATAGCCAATTCCACACTCACAAAGTTGCGACTATTCGGGTGTACAGGAAGATGCCTCACCTTATCACTCAGATAAAACGTTTCTGCGAGAGCGATGCCAATGTCGGAGTCCCAGGCGATGTTGACTGGCTTATTGTAAAATGAAAAGTTATTCAAATTCCTTTGGCAGTAAATTACAGATTCTTCCTTACTGCCAATTTTAACGTAAAACGGAAATGCAATTTTGACGCCTGACCTTACGCCCAAACAGCCCGCCAAAACGCTATCGAATTCACCTAAAAACAACAATTCACCTGGTACCTGAGCATGAATAGGGACGTAAAACAAGATTAGGAACCGCTGAAAAATACTCAAACTATGTACAATTCACGATGCCAAAACCGTAGAAGGCCTTTAACAATATGAGATCCAAAACGGCTCTTATTAACAATAATTATTCTCACGACAAAAAAATAAAATAAAATTATCGTAGAGCATTTAAAAGCTAGAAAAAAAAAAAGAGGAAAAATTTTGATCTAAAAGAATTTTATTTAACATTCCATTACCTTAAAAAGCAAACAGTTCATACGAGTTCTAGAAATTTTTAAAATCAAAGAACAAAAAGTGGACGTGGCTGCTAGATCTCATTTGAAACTTCTACAGCGAAACAAGATTCATAATGTTCAGAACAACTTTACTGAAAGTATGCAATGAGCGTTTCATAAACTGTTATCTGACAGTGTAAAATTGTTTCTTAGAGATTAATGTACAGGAAAGCAAAATGTAAGCAGTAAGAAATGAGCCAGATTTAAAAAAATAAAACCTATCGTTTTACAGTTTTCCGCACACATGTTTCGCTGCTCTCAACAGCTCAACTGTCCAGACAAAGCAACAGAGCTAAAACTAAGATACAGTTTTATACTCCTCAAAGCTGTCCCTAAGAAGTTTCCCCTTTAACATATGGAGAAAAAACATTTCGATAAAAAACTTACTTGTTGAAAGTGAACGATAAAATGACACATTAACTTCCTCGGTGCTCTTCTTTTCCTTTTTAAGATAACGATTGTACTCCTAAAAACACAAATTTCTTTCAATTAACTAAAAGCGAAGAGCAGAAATGCAAAAAGCTAAAAACGCATCTTTTGCAGGTTGCTGTAACCAAAAAAAGAGAATAAGTTCAAAACGTAAAGGAGAAGTCAAACTTCTTTTGCAATGGTGTCGACTCGAACGGGTAATTTCGTATCAACCTTGTGGAAATAAGTAAACGAACGATTCAAAAGTGGACCATTCAAAAGAAGTGAAACAATGGGGTAAGAAACAACTGCTGCGGTAATAATGCCAAGTCGTAAACGACGACCAAATTTGCTATTCATCGCAAAAGTTGATATATCTGGAGCTTCGCCACTTGATGGCCTCCTAATAATTTACATGAAATCTAGATACCAGGATGACAGATTCAAAATTTTCTTCATAGAAATCACTTGTTTATTGGCAAATGGGAACGAACAAGTATTCCACTTTGAATTTTTTTTTTCAAATTTCCATGAACTAACTTTTTAGCTCCTAAAACTGCAAAAAGGCGCATCGTCTTTCTTTCCAGGGCGACTCCAAATGTTCTAAAAAAAAAGAAACTACTAAGCAAGAGAAAATAGAATTCCTTTCAAAGGCTACTACTCACCAGAGCGAAAAAATAATGTTATTATGAAGCTTCAAGCACTAATCAAGGCATCTGACTAAGGCCAATAGAATAGTGGCACTGAAAGTATACGGCAACCAAATACTTTATTCTTTGAACAACAAAAAGAAAAAAAAAACAAGCGATCCAGAAATACACAGGCATTCTCCTCAGATATTGTCACAAATTAAAAAATAGTGATGAAAATCTTAAATGGCTTTAATTGAAAAGTAATTTAATGACTACAATACTCTTCTAGCTGAGAAAATTTGAGAAATTTTTAACTGAAGGTTGGCAGAAGCAATCCGAAAGAAAAATATTAAAGAAAGATAGTAATTTATATAAAATTTAATTCGAAAAAATCAGGAACTGTAAACGACTCGATTTAAAAGTTACAAAGCAAGTAAATTAAAACAGCAGTGTTATGAAGAATAACTACAGAAACATCGTTTTAAATTTGTCTTATGGGAATTATGACTTTGAAGGCGCGTTTACTATCTTTGCGTAGCAGCAGCCTTCAACCAAATAATAAATTACCTTTGCCCGTATAACTTCCAAACAAGACGGTGATATAAACTGCTGAATTTAATTCGGTATCCCGCATATGCCAGAACACTTTTTAAAAATACTACTTTTTTAACTTTTAACAAAATTCTGAGCCAAATAATAGAGCTACTTAACACATTAATCAGTAACAGGTTGACTGCTGTTTCGTAACATTTTAATGGCCTTTAATCTCTGTGAAAACGGTACAGGATCTTTTAAACAGTCTCCGCTTTCAGAGATATAAACAGCACCATCTTTTCCAAGAATTTTTCTTATCAATCTGCACAATTTCATAGACGTAGAAAAGTATTCTTCAGCTCCTTTTCTGTGCAAATCTGACCTGAAACACTTTGACAAGAAATAAATTTATAAGAAGAAGTCATTTACCCAACTACAGTTCAACTGCATAAAGTTTTAAAAATTTAAACCAACCCTTTGCAAGCTTCCACATCTAGTTTCTGAATTAGAAAAACCCTGAAGGCACAATAAAGTTTGTAAAAGATTGCACTCGAAATGGCTGTTGTGACCACAAAAGCCAACAAACTGCCCAGAACAGGGATTAATATTAACAATACGCCATACATAGCACCAAATACTGCTGCCCAAATTACTAGTGGAATTGTGAAAGCTTTACCACTAAATAATGGAGCTATTGAATTGTATTATTAACCTTGCCTCGTAGTTACAGTTGTCATTTAATAAACGCCCCTCTTTAGATAAAAGCAATTATGCCTTTAAAATCCAAGAAATAAAGAAATAAATAATGAAGCAAATAAAAAGGCAATAAAGTAACTCAACAAAAAATGACTGATAAAACATTTCTATCGAATTTAGTGCAACAGTACCGTAAAGTAACGAATTAAGAGCCATTAAAAACGATAAGCAAAAACCCAGCTGCTGTTAAAATTTACCTAGCTGCATTCAAAAGACCTCGACGTAAAACAAAACGACGTGCTGCATCGCTGAATTTCATTCCATCGAGGAACCGTTCGCCGTATGCAGAATCAATATCCAGTCTTCGAGAGGTTCTGCAGATAAGGCTAATATTTGCAGCTATAAATAACTCCAAATTACACAACATCTTAACTAAAAAACAATAAAAATTACGTCCTCAAACCACAATCAACATCAATACTACAGCCTAATTTTCTGGCTTCTTCACTATCTCGGAATGCAACTGTCAGTGGAATCTGTAGCTCTGCACCATTAGAGAGAAAAAATCCTCCAATAACTCGCGCATCTAGCCGATCGGTTAAACTAACTAGGACCTATAAAACAAGTTTTAAAAAGGTAGTTCTGCTGTTTACGTACGATAGAATGACTTGCCTCAAAAGCGTTGTATTCATGTAACTGCTTACTGAACCCACTTGAAATTACCCAAGTTAATAGGCAGGACACATCAAAATTAAGGAGAGGAGTAATGGTAAAGAAAATACCGTTCACAAGAGGAACTTGCCAACTGATTGGAGTTTACTGATACCTTAGATTTTTTTTTTATCTTCATCCCATCAAGTTCATCCTCCAACAATTCCAACAGATGCTCAGGGACATCTACATTTAACCTATGATATAACCAAGCAGGATACCCTACATCCCTAGAACAAAAATATAATTATGGTTCCATTTACCACCACTGAAAGTGGTGTACTGCTCATCTTCAAAAAATTTTGCCGTTACTGTAATAAGCCGAAGGAATGTAAAACCAACGCACACTTCAGAACTACTTTTCTACAATTAGCTTGCGCATAAAAGCCGCTTAACGAACAAACCTGCCAGCATTGTAAACAAAACAACCAATTGGTAGAGCAGGAATCAAGCACAAGTACGCTTGTTTTACCCAAGAAACGTTTGCCCATTTACCCATTGACATTGAGTTGAGTCAAATACACCGACCACAGCAAAAAGCAGTTGCCAATTCGCTTTCTAAAAGTTGGTAAGTTGCTAAAATCCAAAAGAAACGCTTCTGTTCAACCGAAACCTTTTCAAAAAAAAGCGTCTCTATCAGATCGCTCACTATCCAGTTAACCGACTAAACTTCAAATTAAAAAATACTAATCAAAGCTGATTGACCAGTACTCTTTAGAATACTAACACCCGCGGTTCTGCAGAACTACCCAACAAAACAACTTTACAACTCCTAACGACTGAAGCTTAAACTTCCAACACTTATCCAAATCGTGGCGGCCGAATGCAGGAAACGTATGTAACGAACCACATGTATTAGAGCAGAGATATGATAACTACATAACTATCACAGCATAACTGCATTTCCAAATGATTACAAGCGCAATTCTTAAAATATTACTGTCCACTCTAATACTCATACCTTCCCAAGCTTCAAAGGCCAGATTACATCAGATGGAAAAACGGATAAAGCACTAACAAGTACTACTACTATCTTCCACTATCTGAATTTAAAAATTACAATGCAACATCATCAAGTTTATACAACATAATATATTGGCTGTACGAACAACAGAGAAGGTCTAAAGCAAGAACTTGTTTTGGTGTCATTAAACTTTTAACAATCAAAAAGGGTAATATTTTACATGAAAAACCACATTCTTTTTTACTATAATAATGCATAAAAGAATTCACCGTGAAATAATACTCTCATATATTTAAAAGTTGCTAAAATTAAAAATTATCACATATGTGACTTTCTTTCAAAATCGTTAAATAATTAAATGCATGAAACAGCTGGAGATTTCTCATAGTGGGTTAACAAATACTCAAACAACTCTCAATTCCTCAATTACTTTAAAAAAAATACTTAATAAAAAATTCATAAATCCAATGCCACCGAGAAACCTATGGTTAATTAAAATATCACGAATCAGTATCACGATTTTCTTTGAAAACCGGAGCTGGTAACAGAGCTTCCCATACTATTAGATGAGGCATATCACGAGGTCTAATGGAATCTGCAGATCCAACTATATCCTCCTCTTCTCCTAAAAATATACTAGCAACTGTTAACAACATTAAGCAACCCATTGAATGCCTACGTGAAATCCAACGGTCTGTCTGAATGTTTAAATTTTATCAAGGTGGTAAATTAAATAGGATGACAAGCGAATAAGAGACTTTTTAAAAGTATTACCCATACGAAAATCAATGTAGCCATCTCCTCCAGAAGCAATGAGAAGTTTTTGTTGTTTGTTTTGCTGTGCCTTTCGAGAACCGTTGTCGTCTTCTTCCTTTTCAAATTCAACTTCTGCACCTCAAATGAGAAAATTTTCAATGAAAGAGGAAAGCTAGGTAACGGCAAGAGAAATGGTGGTGCAACTGACCAGGTACAGCCAAAAGAAATTTAACTGGGTCTTTATGGCCATGAAATGAAAGTTGTGCTTTGGTCATATCACAGTATGGTATGAAAGATTTTGAAACGGCCTCTTCATCAGCAATGCGATCGCTGTATACCCGTATTAATCCGCCAGGACCATGAACTTCGTCCTTTCCAGTTGCTTGAAACTCTACCTTGGTTTCAACTCGCAAAGTGTTTTCTAGAGAACCAAATATAAGAAATTAAATACTGAAAAAAAGAAAAAGAAATATGTAAATAAGCAAATAAACGAATCCCTAACTACAAAAAAAATCAAAGACTTAAAAACATTAAAAATTAAATTTTTGATGAAGAAGGTCACGATAAGTCTTATTCAAATGAATTTTAAAATAAATATCCTGTTCTAAAATGTTGCAAATAAAGGAAAGAACAAATTGATATTTTACTTTCACAAAACGGAACTGAGACGATTAAGCCAGTCCCCGTACCCATCCAAAGCCGACGACAAGCGACGAGCAAAGCAGTAGTGCGCATATACGCAAAATCCAACTTGTTGGTCCCTTATGATAAAAAAAGTAATATTTTGGACATAGTAACTATCAGAAAAAAATGCAAATACAGTATAACTGGCTTCACAAATTTCATAAAACCAGTATCACTGGCAGAAAATATGACTTCAAAAGAACCTAGCATTTTAGTTATATATGGCTCAATATCGACATCCTGTAAATGAATATGTGTATGGGCATGATATAGCCGCAAAGTCGAGTCCAAACGGATTGAGAGCCACACACCATCTCCAATCCACTGCATATGTCTAACTTGACTGTCTCGACGGGGATGAACCGCAATAGCTTTCTGAAGAAAAGTCCACGACATATTGTCCCAAAATAATTACAACCCTTTAGCTTTTCACACTGATTTAAACGACCATGTGTTTTTAATAAAATGAAATAAAGCGAATAAAACCATCCTTCTGTCATCACCAGACTATCAGAAGCTAATCCTTTCTCCAAAAAAAAAAAATAAAAAAAAAAAACGCTCAGAACAACAGTATCAGATAGCAAATACCGCAATAAAAACAATCTTGTTCTTGCTAAGTGTTACAAATTCCCCCATGTAAATATAAAAGATGGTTTAAAGTCAAAAATTGGAATTTCTTAGCCCTTTTAAGCTTAGCATACTATGAAATAAACAGAATTAAAAGATGCAGTCCCAAACTAAATATTTTCTTGGCCCTAAATTTTTCAATAATGATGAGTCAACGTTATAAAATTTCGCACAAAGCAGTTAAAGAAATTCTTGCCACAAAGAATTCCTAAGAGGACTTTTCAAACAAAATTTTTGAAAATATGTCATGCGACAAAATTTAAATTTTCCTAGAAACGACAGAAAAATTTTGAAACTTACAAAGAAACACTGCCAGACAAACTAAAAAACACTGACACTTAATTCTAAAAAAATTTAGAGAGTTCCAGCATTTGTCGACCTCACTCATCCTCTTGCAGTTCAGAAGAGTTCATTTCTGCTGCAAATGTAGATCCTAAAGTAAGCTCATACTGTGCAAATGTAGAGTAAAAGCCTATTAATTAAATAACCCAATTTCTAAGCGTAAGCAACCTGAAATCCAATTTGTGCACCATATTTTAACACTAAGAAAAGTTAAATGAATAATCAAGAAAAATAATCAAGGCATTTTTTGGAAATATTGACTGGAAAAACCAACAAAGAATTGAACTAACCACAATGATCAACTCTTTTGGGTCAATAATGACAACACAATTGCGGTAAGCAGCCCACAGAAAATTACCGACTACTGTAAGTGACCTCACTGAGCTGGTAGCTTTCCCCACTGTGATAACATGATAGCCTTCATCCGCCCATCCACCAGCTGGAAGGTTCAAATAAATAACGGATGTAATGACGCTGCAATTCTCGTTGTACATCGTTCCAAATGACAAACGGCAACAAAACTTACAACTATTTCGATGGAAAACAGCTACCGAGCCATTTGCTAACGCAGCAAAAACGCGACCTTCACAATACCTTCAATAAATTGTCATCTGTTTTGCGATTCCCTTCGTTTAACAAACCGTTTAAGAAAGCAGAAAAGAAAAATCAATGCTAAACTTACTGTATGTATAACACAGCATCAGGCATTTTGACTTTCCTTAGGCATTTTTGCCATTCCGTCACTGCTGAGTGGATTAAAATGCTGCAAAGAAATCAGTGAGATGTACGGAACTACAAAAAGAAAAGAAGCAAGGTTTCCGTAAGATATAACATTCAAATTTCTTTCTTGTGAAGTACAAAAATTTTAATCCGACGGCTTAACTAACGAAATAAACAAAAAGGTGAATTTAGTATTCAGAGAAAGCCTAAGTTGTGGAATTTGAAGTGTCCAAAGACAACATGATATTGCAAGATATGTAGTATCACCGATACTTAAGCATCACTCACTACTCATTTTGTGTACCAAGCCACATTGTCGGCTGCGCACTCAAATCGCCGTCACATTTTTCATATTTCTCTAACTCTTGCTTTATATGTACAGGAAGTCTGGAATATTGTCCATCTCCGGTCTTCGACAACTCTGTGTCTGAAAAAATTGCTGGCAATAAAGATTACTAGTAACAGACTGGCATCATAATTACTTTTATTATATTAATCTCTTTGTGATTCGACTTACATGCAAAGATTAGAGCGAAGTAAAACTAAGCGCCTTGCTTAGGAAAAAATTGCATCATTGTTAAAAAAATGTAATTTCCTGGAAGAAAGAGACTAAAACCGCATTTCATTCAAAAAAGAAGAAAAAATAAAAGTGAAAACAAAAAAGAAGAACGTTAAAGTGGTTCAATCACATAGACATACATATACACATTCACGAACACGAGAAAACAAACACATTGAACAAAAAACTCTGACAACCCCTTTTTTACGCAACAACAGCCTTCAGGACTATTGCTCTGTAATAAAGACCAAATTCAACTAAACGACAAGAAGCTGCTAACAATGCATGCAAAGCAAAAAAAACTAGGTAACAGTGCTCACCCAGTACTAGATTACCATTAGTTGAATCTTTCAATTTCTCCAACGGTATAAACCCTAGGTCCCGCTTTTTTTCTTCCTCTTCAGAAGCCGTTTGAACTAGAGAAAAAAGATAAAAAAAATACACTCAGAAAAGAACGTTAAACACTATCTCAAAAAATATGGAACACAGCAAAAGTGAAGTCCTCCTATCTAAAAAACTTGAAGTCATATGCATACAACTGTGTACACGAAATGCGTCAAAAAATCTGTTAAAAACAATACCAAATAAAATGGATGTAAACCTACGAAAGTCTGGTACAATTTATCCTGCTGATTGACAGCGGAATTAGTAACTCCTCCGGCAGTACATTTCGAAAAAACCATTAGCAGATGACACTTACAACCCTACATTGGAGGCTCAACAAATAAAGCCGGTAAATATCAGGACTTAACTAAACAGAGCAATTTAGGTTGAAGTTTTTCCAGTGCGGCTACCAATAACAAAAGATCCTGCAAAGTTACCGAATGTGCCAGAAATTTAAAAAAAGCTCAAAGCACTGCCGAAGGAGTTTGCTGTCACATTTCAAACATTCCTGGCTGAGCACTTTTTAAAAAACTCCTACACAGTCTTCTGATCCCAAGAGTTAAGTATATGCTGCACTATATCCTTAAAATTCATTCACAAAATCACATCTTCAATCCCGCCCCTCCTCCAAAATCCGTATCAGGTTCCACAATTCATTTAACTCTGAAAATCAGCCTCAAACGCCCTTATAAAATTTTTTTAGTATTTTCAAAACTGTTCAAATAAAACCAATTTATTGAAAAAGCAAAACGCCTTCTTCCTCCAACTCTTTCAAAAATTTAAAATAACGCTTGCCGTTCCTTGACCACTCCCTTCAATAATCAAACCTTAGGTACCGAGCTAACCGAGAGAATGCCAAATGGCTGATTTTTAAAAGATTCTAAATTCAAGCCTCCAATCCAAACAAAAAAAAAAAAAAACCAAACTGTGTCTTGACCCCCTGCCATGATCCAAATGCCAATAAAAGTTCCTTTATGCAAAGAAGAGTCGCTACAGTTGCATTCACTCCAACTTATTACAGAAGTCCCTTTCTCAAGCCTCTTTAACAGAGTTTCTGACGCACTATATATGCTGATAAAAAACTTCAGACAAAATTAGAGAGAAAAACATCAGAAGTAAACATAACAAATTTTGCAGCTAAATATTCAAAACTCAAGCTGAAAAATCCTGCCATATTAACAACTTAAGCAGGTTACAACTTGAAAAATTGCACCATATTACTCCCAACGTAAAATCCCTTGAAATTACTCACACAAGTACACGACTTATATGATAAAAAATTAAATAAAAAGAGAAAGCCAAATTCAAAGACTAAACAAATGAACAAAAAATACTATGGTTAATGATAAATCAAAAAAAAA